CCGACAGTATTGGGTTTCATGGAGAACTTAGGGGCGGGGCTTGGCTGTGATTGACAGTCAATGTGAGCAGATTGTGTCTGTGGAGAGAATCAGAGTCTCACTGATGGTGGAAATAAAGGGTTTACTTCCTTAAAACAGCCGTTTTTTGAATGGAGTTTGGTGTGACAGTGTGGAGCAGAGGGGATTTGAACCTTAATAATTCCCATAAACTGACCTACCTTCTAATAATGAACCCTGGAAACAGCAGAGAGTAACAGGAAGTGGAGATAAACCCTCCTGGTTTCTTCTTCTGTGGTAGTTAAAGGTGGTTTACAGTAACACACACAGTTAATACGGTCGCTGTATCTGTCATCAATACCGATTATTGATCAGCAATAACACAACTGATGAGAGACAGTAGATACAGACAGGCAGACAGACAGGTGGAGGACTGATGGTGAAAACTGAATTTAACAATCTGCAACCAGCATAATAACAATATTTATATATAATGTATATATTGTTTATATATTGTTTATATATTGTTTATATATTGTTTGATTAAAATAATGTAGAACTCTTCTGAGAGCGTCTCACTCTGAAAATAATAATCTGTTAATATTTTATTATTGATGTTCTAATACAGAAAGACCTTTTATTATATCTATTTATTAACGTATTATCTTAGACTGCTGCTCCTTCAGCAGAGGAGTTCCTGTCTGTCTGTCAGCTGTCTGTCTGACAGTGAGTCAGCCTCCTGCTGCTCGGAGCGTTCAGGTTCTTCCTCTGACTGTCACAGGTTATTGATCGGTTGATCAGTTATTGATAAGCTTCCTCACTGAATCCTGTCGTTGATCATCATGAGTCAGAACTCCGAGGTCCGTTCGGTGCCTCGGTCCCGACCGCCGGCTGCTGCACTGCTCCCTCAGACCGAAGTTACGTCCACACAGACCGGGTCCACCATGGTCGCCGTCAGTGGGGGTCGATTATATAACATATATTATATCTCATATGCACCTAATTTATATTAAATTTATATTAAATATATATTAAATATATATTATATATATATTATATATATATTGACGGTTTAGATCACAAACAAACAGGCAGGCAGTGTGTTTACTGGGTGAACTGGTGTGAGGTCGACCTGAACAGGCGGTGGCGGTGGCGGTGGGGTCTGCCGTTACCATGGAGACCAGTGATGTGTTTGAGTGCGCAGGTGAAATCAGGTCAGATTCAGTTTCAGTTTGTTTACAGTCACATCGGTCTGTTGTTATTGATTCTGGGACCAGATCCACTCGATCCAGGACTGTAGTGACCCAGAGAAACCTGAGAGACTGAATGGACTCTCTCACACACACACACACACACACACACACACACACACACACACACACTCTCACACACACTGTCCCAGAGGAGGTGTGTATTTCGTGTCGATTTCTGTTGTTGTTGTTTCTGCTGATCAGCTGAAAAACACCTAAACAGTGTGTGTGTGTGTGTGTGTGTGTGTGTGTGTGAGTGAGAGTGTGAGAGTGTGTGTGAGTGTGCTACCTTCAGGGACACAGTTCAGACCAGTGTAATTTGGGACAAAAGCCAAAACAGTGATATAAAGTATAGCTAACTGTTATCATCAGTGGAAACATTGTCCCTGCGGCTTTATGACGATGTGGTTCGTGTCTTCAGCAGCGTCTTCCTGCTGGACGTTGTTTACTTGTGTATTTTGTAGTGCTGACAGTGAACCATCCGTCTCACAGTCTCAGTGACACAACTGCGGGGAGCGGGGCCCGAATGAGTCCCAGAACCAGAGCGGGGCGGTCCAACGGAGGCCGGCTGATGTCCAGCTCCATCAGACAACCTGATCAGCCTTCAGCAGTCAGCTAGTGTTTCTGTAGTGGAGACTAAACGTTAACAATGATCCATATCAGCAGTTTGAATCCAACTAAAAGCTCCCTGCACCAAACTCCCTTTAAGAAATATCACATTTTATTATTGCTGGGATCAATCTGTCTGTGAGTGTGTGTGAGGATGTCTGAGGAGGTTATTTTACCCTATAAACTGTCTTCATACAGAGACACTCCCCTCCTCCACAGCGTCAGAGACCATAAACAGCAGGAGATGCTGAGCTCAGCAGAAACAGTGTGTGTGTGTGTGTGTGTGTGTGTGTGCCCCTCCCTGTTTATGGCCTTTTGTTCTCTGTACTGGTTCCTCTGGTCTCTCTGGTCCCCGTCAGCAGCTCTCTGCAGGATTTAATGGAAGCTGATCCTGTTAGTATCGGATTGAATTTATAAACTTTATTTAAAACCTTCATGTTCTCAGTGGACAGCTGATGTCACATTACATCATACACTGTAAGAAAAACAAAAACAGCTGCAGCACCAAAACAATACTAAATATTAAAATAACTGACTCAGTAATTTTCTATCATTAAAATACAGTTTTTAGCTTTAATTTTACATAAAATGTTGTGTATTTTTTAATGTTTATTTACACTGTAAAACCAAAGAAATCAGCTATAAATACAGGTGAACTCTGCTATAATACAAATAATCAGTGCTGTTATTATTAGATCTTTCTGATTAGGGTCCGAGCAGTAACACATGCTCCGAATCTTAACTTTAACTCCTCCTAGACAGTTGCATTCAATACAATTGGTCAGTATGATGTATAAAGACAGTCATTATCAAAATCTTGAGTTTCTGGCTAAGGGCGTGTCTGTGGCGAGGTCGAGACAGACGACCACCCACCTAGAGCCGGAGGATCTGTCCTAGGTTTCTGCCTTTTAACAGGCAGTGTTTCCTTGCCCTTGTCTCCAAGGTCTTGCTCATGGTGGTACTGTTGGGTCTCTGTAAATAATGTTATAAAGAGTTCGGTCTAGACCTGCTCTATTTGAAAAGTGTCCTGAGATAACTTCTGTTATACAAATATATATAAATATATATTAATGTAATGTAACATTTTCTGGCGTTTCCTTTTAACAAACTCCTCCTAGAGAATCGGAGATACTTCAGAATCGGTCAGTTCGCTCTGAAGACGTTCACAATGAAACGTTATTATTATCAAGTTATCTCATCACCTTGAATTCGCACAGCTTTAATTGTTGTTATTATTATGGTTAAATTCTTAAACAGATTTCAGTTTGTCAGCGTTAAGTTCTGTGTGCATTCTTCGTAGCTAGCTAACAACATGGCTACCTAGCGGAGCTCACTGATTACTGTACAAACACAACTTTATCAGTGATTTGGGTGAAACTGGATCATATTTTATGGAGAGAATATTGTCGGGTTTTCCTTCTGACGTCCTCCGCTAACTGCTAATGTAGCTGCCGTTAGCTACCAAGATGATTAATGGAAGTTTCCAGAGGGACTTGTTGCTAAAAGAAGGAAACTGTCGTCAACAGTGATGTTAGATGCTCTTAGCTCATTACCCAAATGAGCCTATCAATAAAACCACCTCAGTCCTTTATTCCCTGCAGTCCAACTTTCCTCCGTCAGCATCAGATGCTGCATTCAGTCCCGGTCTGGACCTGCTGTTCACTGGGAGCTTCCAGACATCATGTTTAACCAAAAAAGGAAAACGATATGACAGTTTATCCTATTTTTAAGGCAAATGCAGTAAAATAAGAAGGACACCTATCCATGAACCTTTGTGTTCTGAGGTATGTTTGTTTCACATCAGCTGAGTAATGACTCTTTAAAAGCTCTCTGTATTATTAAAGGAAGTGGTTGCTTTTAAACTGGAAATACAACCTGCTTCCTGCAGCGTCTGCACAAAAACAGACTCTTTATTCTCCAGCAGTTTGCTAAAGTGCGAACAAAACTATTCCTGAGTTTATTGTGTCATCACATTGATTATTTAGCATTCATCATTGTTGTTTGGTAGTTTGTCTTTATCAATTAAAATACTGGTTCCCAACCTTTTCCCTTCAGGGAACCATTTTCTACCATTTAATAAACTGACTCAGTGACATATTTTATGGATATTTCATATTGTATTAAAACTGAACTATGAAGTCAAACAGTGAACTCAGTAACTGCAGGACATTTGTGTAAAACCGGAGATTTGGATGAATGTTTGAGCAGATTATTCCCTGTTTAGGGAACTTTTTATACAATTCTCTGTCTGTATTCTGTGTTTTTATTAACAATCATACAGAATTAATATTCAGACAGATTTAGTGTTTGATTCCCTTTGTTGTGTTTATTTACATTTACTTTTCTTCACAGAAGTGAACCACATGCTCAGATATTGGCCTATTGTGTATATATATAAGTTTTCTTACACGCCTTTGAATCAAAAAGACCTGTTGGGCCCCACAAAGCTTTGGTGGCCCCTAGTGGGGGTCCCGATTCCCAGGTTGGGAACCACTGGATTAAAGCAACACTATGTATGATTTAGTGCCCGCAGTTGCAAACCCACTGTGGTAAACAGTGTTGGGCTAGTTACTCTTTTATTTCTTACTGATTATATTATATAATAATATAATTATTTTACTGATTACTCCCTGCTAAAGAGTTGTTCGTTGTTCAACTCAAAGTACACACCAACATTAGCAGCATGCACAATGTATTTATTTAAACCTGCACTTGTTTCACAGAACACGTACAATTCAACAGGTTTACTTGGTTTTATTAATTGTCATCATGTTAATTGGCTAGCTAGCTAATGTTAGCTGCCATGTGCTCACACATTGCCCATATTTCTGCGAGTAATGTACATAGTTAATATCACTTTCTAACCACATGCTAACATGCTAACTTCACAGACTGCACTGCGAAAAAAAACACTGTAAAAAGTAATTCTGTGGACCGATTACTACCACTTAATGCATTAATGCAAGATAAACGTTATAAGTGTACTGATTTATATAAACCTTTTAAGTTGCAAACATTATTTCAATAAGTTGTGTTATACACATAAATAATGTTCACAAACTAAGTTCATTTTTATGAGTAGCCTAATCAACCAAAGAACTTGCTACCAATTATTAAGTGGTAATTAAAAATGTCAACATTTTGTGGAAGTTGTCATAACTCAGAAAGATTCATGCAAACTTTTAGAGGGTATACATGTGTTTTTAAATAAGAGTGGATGATACCAGCCTCCTCTGCAGAATCCCAAATCCTTCAACTTAATAGCTATTAATAAAAGTTGTTGTAGTTAAAAATGTAATTAATAACCAGAATTTCTATTCTTTCTAATAACCAGAGACTAAATCAATCAAATACTTTGTTTGTTTATTTTTAAAACGTTTTAATGTCGGAATGTTGAGTTTTTTTAATTTCTTTAATCTTTTGCTGTGATGTCATCGGAATGTCATGATGTCATTCAAAGATCAAAGCCAATAGAATGTTTCTTTGATTCAAAAACGAACATTCTCTCTTAAAATCTACATCTAGGATCCAAATCCAACCTGGTTCACTTCAGATTCTTCAGGACACTTCTTCAGGACTTCAGATCAAAGGATACAAACAGCGACGAGATGGATCAAGCCACAGTGGAGAGTATTCACGCCCTAATCAGTCAGAGCCTAGAGCAGCTGACAACCGTACAGTGGTCGCTGCTGGAGTCAGGGACTCTAGATAAGAAGGCTGAGGATGTTATTAATAATATGTGTGTGGATATAATCAATATTATATTCATACATGTTTACGGGTTGTACAAACAGAGCCTGCTGAAGAGGACAGACACTTCCAAATCCGCCAAAAGCATCTCTGAAGACGATGTCCGCGGGTGTCTGGGTGACACTATCTTACTGGCCTTCTCGGAGGCAACCGGGGTCACCAACATCAGTTGCCTAAGCATGGAGAAGGTAACAGACACCATGGTTGCAGAGGTCACAGAGAGAGTGAATGAGCTCTCCAAAAGCTCTGGAAGGGGTGGAGGCAGCAAGGAGGGTAGTAAACCTCTCGTCTCAAGTTCATTCACCCACAGACTGAAGTCGATATGGCAAGAATCCTTAAAAACTGCACAGGAAAGGACAGTGCACTGATTGGAACCAGGGAGTCATGGCAGACCCCCATACTTCCTTTCATTGAAGAGACAGAAACTGACGAGTCTCAGATGAGATTGGCTGAGATTCGTCAGTTTCTGGAAATTTCTTCAGGAAGTGGCTGCATGACCCCTTTCTCAGAATCAGCTTCTATCACTCAGGAGGTAGCTGTCAACAATAAGGTTGGTCACACTTTGGTGGTTAAAGCCAAACCACGTTCCGCCCCTGTTCAGTCCGTAGACTCACTGATCAGCAATAAGGTTGGTGACACTTTGGTGGTTAAAGTAAAACCACGTTCTGCCCCTGTTCAGTCTGTAGACTCACCGATCAGCAATAAGGTTAGTGACACCTTGGTGGTTAAAGTAAAACCATATTCTGCCCCTGTTCAGTCTGTAGACTCACCGATCAGCAACAAGGTTGGTGACACCTTGGTGGTTAAAGTAAAACCACGTTCTGCCCCTGTTCAGTCCGTAGACTCACTGATCAGCAATAAGGTTGGTGACACCTTGGTGGTTAAAGTAAAACCACGTTCTGCCCCTGTTCAGTCCGTAGACTCACCGATCAGCAATACAGTTGGAGACACGTTGGTGGTTAAAGCAAAACCACCTCCTGCCCCTGTTCAGTCCGTAGACTCACCGATCACCAATAAGGTTGGTGACACTTTGGTGGTTAAATTAAAACCACCTTCTGCTTCCATTCAGTCTGTAGACTCACCGATCAGCAATAAGGTTTCTCACACTTTGGTTGTTAAACCAAAACCATCTTCTGCTTCCATTCAGTCCGTAGACTCACTGATCAGCAATAAGGTTGGAGACACCTTGGTGGTTAAGGTAAAACCATGTTCTGCACCCGTTCAGTCTATAGACTGACCGATCAGCAATAAGGTTGGTGACACTTTGGTGGTTAAAACAAAACCACCTTCTGCCCCCGTTCAGTCTGTAGACTCACCGATCAGCAATAGGGTTGGAGACACTTTGGTGGTTAAAGCAAAACCACGTTCCGCCCCCGTTCAGTCTGTAGACTCACCGATCAGCAATAAGGTTGGTGAAACTTTGGTGGTTAAAGCAAAACCACGTTCTGCCCCCGTTCAGTCTGTAGATTCACCGATCAGCAATAAGGTTGGTGACACTTTGGTGGTTAAAGCAAAACCGCGTTGCGCCCCCATTCAGTCTGTAGACTCACTGATCAGCAATAAGGTTTCTCACACTTTGGTTGTTAAACCAAAACCATCTTCTGCTTCCATTCAGTCCGTAGACTCACCGATCAGCAATAAGGTTGGAGACACCTTGGTGGTTAAAGTAAAACCACATTCTGCCCCCGTTCAGTCTGTTGATTCACCGATCAGCAATAAGGTTGGTGACACCTTGGTGGTTAAAGCCAAACCACCTTCCGCCCCCGTTCAGTCCGTTGAGTCACCAATCATTGGTGATGCTGGTGAGGCTTTGGTTGACACCACAGCACATCCAGCACATCGGTGGAACGAAACCAGCTGCAGGTTAATGGTCATTGCACTAGTTAACAAAATTATGAAAAGCCATAAAAATCCGGACGGCCGTCTGACTTGCGACGACATTGGAACCATCAGCAGGTCTCTGGTGGAGCTGCTTTGGGAACAGATCGCAGGCTCCGATGGTTCTGCAAAGCCGAGCGACCATCACTTCAGAAGGGTCGCCAAGGCGGTGCACAAAGACTTGTGCAAGGAGACAGGCGACGCAGAGATCCTGCAGATGTGCCTGCTGTCCCGTGATGCATCTATTTACAGATACATAACTGAGACACTGACACAACATCTGGTGACACCACAGAAGAAGACAGGCGTGAACAGATTCTTCTCACGTCTCTTCAGCACCATGGCCAAGCCGTTCACTGCCTGCTTCGGACGCAAAAAGTAATCTTTGGTGGTTTCTAGGTGGTTGGATAGGACAGACACAGACGCGTACTATCTGAAACGACAACGGGTTTAGTCCGAGAGGCTTCGGTTTCCCCACATTTTAAACCAGAATGAAAAAAGTTTAGTCTGGTAGCTCCGAGGAACTGTTAGAAAGAGTTCGGTCTAGACCTGCTCTATTTGAAAAGTGTCCTGAGATAAATGAATCTACCTGGATGTGACACAGGACAACAGGTGTCGTAGGGCCACACAGGTGCTTCGGTGTGTAACACTGTGGCCTTGCAGCTGTAAGGTGAAGGTTCAGTTCCAGCCTTTGACCCCCTTTGCTGTGAGGAGTACAGAGTGCTCGCTGTGCCCACCCTGAACACATTAACATGCTGTTATTCAGTCAAAGCGACTAATGTTACTAATTTTACATAAATTTATAAACTTATTAACAGTATTAAACTTGAATCAACACTTTAATCACTTTAGTCAGTCGTTTGTAGACGTTTGGAAACTTAACAGCACTACAATAAACGATCACGATTTCCACCTGTTTTCGCTGTTTTTCTTCCACCACATTGCGTTCATCATATACAACGATAAAGAGCGAACAACAACACAGCTAGTAGTGTAACTAATGTTACCGATGTTGTGGGTTAGCTAACAGTCTCCTGCTACTGTAGCTAACATCACAACAACGTCAGACCATGAATATTTTATCATCTACGTCGGTGAATTAAGAATTTATTTCCACCAAACCAGAGTTGGTGATTGTTGGAAACACTAACAGAGACGCTTTTAATCAGTTTGATTCTGTTTCTGTCCACTTTGAATGAAGTTATTATGTTAGAAGGTAAAATGAGTGTTTTTGTCTCTGGAGTCTGGTGGAGAGTGATAGTGATATTATGGCTGTTTGTGGTTAGAAGGTAAAATGGTCGGAGATGCTCCAGTGCGACCTCTAGTGGCACCGAATGTCATATGTAAAACCTTTAAAGAACCTGTTTCTGTGGGACATGATGTCCTTTATTTTTCATGACAACTGATTGATTTTCAATCAGAAACTGAACTCGGATTATGTCTCTGAACTAGAAATGAAGCTGAATGTCAGTGGAGGAGTCAGTTAGCTGGAATAATTAGCTCGTGTTTGTTTCCTGTTTACAGAACCAGGGCTGTGTACAGTCACATTGCCCAGAATCACTTAGCAAACCTTTAAACTGTATTTAAACCCAGAGGACCAGAGGACAGACGGTATGAGCATCATTAGTTCAGCACATTTTCACTCTCATGAGAACAAATATTTACTTCCATAAGCAGCTGGAAGTTTTCTGCCCTATTTTCCTAAAACTTGATGCAAACATGGACAGAATCTGTTGTTTCAGCACCCAGAACTGCCTCCGTCCTCGAGTGTGACTATAACTCTGACTGTCAGGAGGAAGTCCACGCAGCGAGGAGGTTGGATGGATCAGCACAACGTTCCTGTTTCCTTACAGTCAGCTGCTAACTTAGCCTCGTGATACCGGACGATACGTACAGCGCTGATGGTCCCCTCCACAGCGGATCACTTCATAACACAGAGAACTAATGCGTCTCACTCCGTCTGTGCTAAGAGTCTACTTATAACCACAACTAAAGTAAATTATTAAGTTTCTTAAGTAATTTAAAGGTTTTATATATGAGATATTAAACATTATATTGTCTATATACAGAGTGCCTGTGTTGTATCGCAGCCTCTCTGTGGTTTGTTTCCATAGCCGGTCTGCTCCGACTGAAACTGCTGTTTTTATCATCTACGTCGGTGAATTAAGGATTTATTTCCACCAAACCAGAGTTGGTGATTGTTGGAAACACTAACAGAGACGCTTTTAATGACTTGTATTCTGTTTCTGTCCACTTTGAATTAAGTTACAATGATCTGAAGGTAAAATCAGTGTTTTTGTCTCTGGAGTCTGGTGGAGAGTGATAGTGCTTTATTTCCACCAAACCAGAGCTGGTGATTGTTTTGGTTTCTGTCCAGTTTAAAGTGTGTTTTATGATCTTCAATGGAGTCGGGTGGGCCTGTTGTTGCCGGCGCTCTAGTGGCAGTGAATGTCGTATATTTAACCTTTAAGGAGCTGTTTCTGTGGACGATGTTGTCCTTTATGTTTCATGATGAATTTAATGATCCCTCCAATCAAAGCTACAGTAACGAATCTGAATATGAGCTGAACTGATTCATTAACAGGAAACCAGTGAGACTCACTTTATGGATTATGACCTTGAATACCAGATAAACGGGTCTGAACTCGCCACCGCGATGTCTCTGAGAGCAGCTGTTTGATCCTCAGATAGTTCTGTGCTGCTGTTTCTGATTAAATATTTATTGGAGCAACGTGAGTGCCGAGAGGAAACAGCAGCAATATAGAATTTATAATGAGCTCCCAGGATGCTACAGAATTGGCACGGAAGCTAACGGCGCTCTACATATTTGATGCTAGCACGTAGCTAATGGACGCAGTCATAATGTAACCTCTGTGTCAATCGAACACGGTGTGCTCCTTTAAGAGTGTCGCCATGGCGACACACCCTCTCGCTCATCCCCCTCGCCATGTGGAGGGGCGAGCGAGCTTAACCTTAGAAAAAGAGAGAGAGAGAGACAGAGAGAGAGAGACAGAGAGAGAGAGAGAGAGAGAGAGAGAGACAGAGAGAGGGAGTCAGCAGACTTTTCAATTATTTATGAGGCTGTTCTGTACACACTCTAACACACACACACACTCACACACACACACACACACACACACACACACACACACACACACACACACACACACACACACACACACACACACATCACACACACTAATGTAATGCGGCGCTGTGGCTGCAGCAGGATGTCTGAGTGCTGCACCGCTGCATTAAAATGCTCCCATCAACAGTGAGTGCACGCAGCTCCAGCTACTTCCTGTACCCCGCCAAAGTAAGAGTCCTATTAAAGGGTCAGTCTGTCTCGCATTCAGACTTCCTGTCTGTGGCTCACTGGTTGCGTTCACTGTATAATAAACTGTCTGTCGTCTCTGACGGTTCCTGTAGAGCATGTGAAGCTCAGTGTGGTCGGCTAGAGGAGGTACTGGAGGTACTGGAGGAGGTACTGGAGGTACAGGAGCTAGAGGAGGTACTGGAGGTACAGGTACTGGAGGAGGTATTATTGGTTGCTGACAGATGGCTCACATACAGGAAGTGTAAACAGCTATCTGATCAATCAGTTGATCAATCAGGTTACAGAAACATGGCTGCACTGAGGCTGATGGGACGTCCCCTCTGTCCTTCACTGCATCCTCTTCCTCTTCCCCTCCTGGTCTCATGATCCCGCCAAAATAAGAGCTCAGGAAGTCTGACAGAGGAAGATGATGAAGATGAGTCATGAATGTAAAGACCTTTGTCAACAAAACAAACTGAATACATTACTGATCAAACATGCACTGTTCCTTTATTATATTATTATTGTTATTAATATTATTATTATTATTACAGAACTAAGACGTTTCACAATCTTCTGTTATTTGACGATGTGAAACATTAAAGGTGAGAGAAGATGAGTGTAATAATACAGAAGAAAACAATATAAAGTATATATAATATCAGGCAGTTGAATGTACATTAGTGCTGCTGCTCAGCTATTGATTGTTGAAATATGAATCACTTTATGAGCATTAGAGCTATTACTGTAGCACTGCGCTCATTAAGGCTTTAAAAGCTCTCGGGTGTGACGGTGCACTATTTGTCCCAGGAAGTCAAACTCAGGACGTAAACAGCGTTCTGGTTGCTCCTTCAGTTGCAGCATGTTGAGCGTTAATCCTGCGACTGATGGAAACGTTATTCTACGTTGTGTAAGTGCTGCGGCTGTCAGCAAATATCCTAAATACTGTTCTATAATTCAGTTGTGAGAACTGCTCTGTGTACAGTTTGAAAGCTGTAACGAGCCAATAACTCGACCACAACCGTGTGGGAATGATGGCAGAGAGAGCAGGCAGCCAGAAAGCCTCAGACGCCATCCAGAGTGTTTACTTCAACCGGCTTTAAGAGCTGACAGACCTGAAACCACAATGCAGAGTGGGCTGACGCCAAATTAGAACCAAAGGACCAAAAACTCTTATGAAACTCCCCAAATTTGGATTTTAAAAAGCAATTTTGAAAACATACCAAAGCACGAAAATGCAGATTTACTCAGTAACAAACCTGCTGTCACAGGAAGTAGCAACCAATCAAGGAGGCAGAAAGAACCTATCGTAAAAAAATGGTTAATTTGTTCCCGGACGAGCCCCCAGTTTGTCACAACCCGACTCAAGGCTGGAAGAAGGAAAGAGCAACCCTCCAGCCGCATTGTTTGTTAGTGATATCTGGAAAAAGTACTTGTAGTTATAATAAATCAGTACTTCCCCTTTCAGGAAAACGCCTTACAAGTCAACCTGCAGGGATTACGGAGCGCAGTCTCTGATATTTATAGTGTTCATCACCTTCCAGCCGCTGCTGTTTACTCTCTGAGAATAACCTAGGATCACATTCACCCACAGACCTGGACCCAGAGCCTGACCCCAGACCTGAACGCAGACCAGGAAGTTCACATCTGGAAGAACAGCTCAGAACTATAACATGAAACAACTTGTAGTTTTTATTGGTTCTGTCTGTGTGGAGCTGATGAACTTTATTATATATATCATTATTATATTATTATTATATCTTATTATATATTATATTATATATATATATATATATATATATATATATAATCAACTTTATTATCACTGTACAGACACACAACTTTATTAACACTGTACAAACACACAACTTTATTAACACTGTACAAACACAACTTTATTAACACTGTACAAACACAACTTTATTATCACTGTACAAACACACAACTTTATTAACACTGTACAAACACACAACTTTATTAACACTGTACAAACACAACTTTATTAACACTGTACAAACACAACTTTATTATCACTGTACAAACACAACTTTATTAACACTGTACAAACACACAACTTTATTAACACTGTACAAACTCAACTTTATTAACACTGTACAAACACACAACTTTATTAACACTGTACAAACACACAACTTTATTAACACTGTACAAACACACAACTTTATTATCACTGTACAAACACACAACTTTATTAACACTGTACAAACACAACTTTATTAACACTGTACAAACACACAACTTTATTAACACTGTACAAACACACAACTTTATTAACACTGTACAAACACACAACTTTATTAACACTGTACAAACACACAACTTTATTAACACTGTACAAACTCAACTTTATTAACACTGTACAAACACAACTTTATTATCACTGTACAAACACAACTTTATTAACACTGTACAAACACACAACTTTATTAACACTGTACAAACACAACTTTATTAACACTGTACAGACACACAACTTTATTAACACTGTACAAACACACAACTTTATTAACACTGTACAAACACAACTTTATTAACACTGTACAAACACAACTTTATTATCACTGTACAAACACAACTTTATTAACACTGTACAAACACAACTTTATTAACACTGTACAAACACAACTTTATTAACACTGTACAAACACACAACTTTATTAACACTGTACAAACACACAACTTTATTAACACTGTACAGACACACAACTTTATTAACACTATACAAACACACAACTTTATTAACACTGTACAAACACACAACTTTATTAACACTGTACAAACACAACTTTATTATCACTGTACAAACACAACTTTATTAACACTGTACAAACACAACTTTATTAACACTGTACAAACACACAACTTTATTAACACTGTACAAACACACAACTTTATTAACACTGTACAGACACACAACTTTATTAACACTATACAAACACACAACTTTATTAACACTGTACAAACACAACTTTATTAACACTGTACAAACACACAACTTTATTAACACTGTACAAACAAACACAACTTTATTAACACTGTACAAACACAACTTTATTAACACCGTACAAACACACAACTTTATTAACACTGTACAAACACACAACTTTATTAACACTATACAAACACACAACTTTATTATCACTGTACAAACACAACTTTATTAACACTGTACAAACACACAACTTTATTATCACTGTACAAACACACAACTTTATTAACACTGTACAAACACAACTTTATTTTGTAATATGAGGAAGCAACCCGCTCTCTGCTTCCTGTCTCAGTTGTTTTTTCCGTGTTCTTTAAATAACAGCAGCAGACACACAACCGAGCCAACAGTGAACACAACTCAAACATAACTCAGATGCTCCAACTGTGATTTATATCAGACAGCGGTGCAGTAACTCATGCTAATTACTGGATGCTAACAGCCGACAGCAGATCGTATTTTACCACAGCACTCCTGCGACAACAGGCACGCTTAAAGTCCAACAACCTCAAGTTGTGGACGTTTTGGAGGCAGTGGCGGTGAGACAGGAGAGTGGTGAGACGGGAGAGTCCTCAGCGTGGAGCCTGTGCGGTGTCGTCACCGGGAGGTGGGAGCTGTCAGAGCAGACTGGATCAGACTGTAATGAACTCCTCTGAGTGTGTTTAAAGGTGACTGACTGTCAGCCGAAGGGACTCGCTCATTAACTGTGGAGGATGACCCGCTACTGCAGCCTGTTCCGCCGTCTGCTGTCGGGGGAGAGTAAGGGAGAGGAGGCAGACGAGGAGGAGGGCAGCACTCACAGAGAGAGCAGCCAGCAGGGTGAGTCCTCCCCCGACTCCCGACTCAGCTCACTGTGGTTGTACCAGGGTTGCTCACCTGTAGACAGACAGACAGACAGTGTCAGTCCACATACTGTATGTTCCTGACACATTCAGACAGATAGAAACATCAGAACTTTATGTTGTATATAAATATAGATACAATACAGTAGAATAACAGTAATCATTAAGATACACTCTTTAGCTTTAATTTTACATAAAATCATGTGTAATGTTTTGTCTTTTTAATGTTTGATTAAAGATATTTACACTGTTAAAACAATGCAGTGATCTATAAATCCAGGTGAACTCTGCTATAATACAATAATCAGACTTCCATTTCCAGCAGAGTGCTGTTATTATTGGATTGTTATTATTTTAATGTGAATGTTAAAAGTTATAGAACTGTAATAAAAGTCATTAACTGTGAGATTACAGTAATTATTTCTGTTTACACTGATAACAACTGTATTTGGACAGTTTACCAATGCTTATACACTGATAAACAACATTTATTCAACTTCCATCATTATACAACATATCTGTCAGTTAACTTACTAATACATTTTTACTGTAAATGTCACTAATATATAAAAAATATAATGAAAACTATATATTAATGTAAGGCAATGAGAAATATGTAAAAACAGACAGAATTAGACTGTAAGAACAATAAAATAATAAGAGCAATCAAAAGCCTTTAAACAAATACAAATAAATAAGATTAAAGAGGTTGACAGACCAAAAACACACCAAACATTTAATAGAAATACTAATAAAAAGTCATTATTTTCCCCATGTAGGTATGAATAAAGTGCAGTATATAACAAATACACAGTGTATATATATTATATACTGTGTGTTATATACTATGTACAGGGTTTGGTCCCTCGCTGTAGTTTTCAGTATAAAGAACATTCAAATAATATTCAAATAAATGATGCAAATAAACCTGATCCAGTGTTTGAGCAGCGAGAGTCAAATATCCTGCAAACATCTAAAGTAGAAAGACATAAACAACAGAGTGAAATCTGAATATTATAGAGTCAA